TCAAAATCATTTTCCACCTCTTTTTATTAAGAATCTTTAATATCCACTCCCACAAGTATTCCCTGGTTTTTGACGGCAGAGTTTAGCAAACCACAAGTATTCCCTGGTTTTTGACGGCAGAGTTTAGCAAACTCTAAAAATTCTTTCTGCATAAAACACTTTCTCACATATTCTGCAAATCACCCTCAGATCAGAGTAAATGTGTGTGAACCAGTGTGATGGTTCATGTTTTTTGTCAACTTGATGGGGCCACAAGGTGACTGGATATTTGGTCACACATTATTCTAGGTGTTTCTGTGAGGCTGGTTTTGGATAAGGTTAACATCTCAATCAGTTGACTAAGTAAAGCATATTGCCCTCCCTGGTGTGGGTGGGCCTTGTTCAATCAGTTGAAGGTTTATTCAGGGAAATACACACTCTGTAGCAGAGTGCCATCCATCTCACTCAGAAGGCAAAGCAGTAGATACACATTCTATTGGCAGAAGGCAGGCCATCTCGAAAGGCCAAAGAGAGCAATGACCAAGAGGTGCAGGGTTGTTCATTTTTATGGGCTCGGTAACTTCATAGGCTAACAAGTGGGAGGATTATTCCAGCTACTTTGGGGAAGGGGTAGGGATTCCCAGAAATTGGGTCACCGCCCACTTTTTGACCTTTTATGGTCAGCTTAGAAACCCTCATGGCACCTGTGGGAGTGCCATTTAGCATACTAATGTATTACAATGAGTGTATAATGAGGCTCAAGGTCTACTGGAAGTCAAATCTTCTGCCATCTTGGTTCTATCGCTGTGGCATTCCTTCAGTGATTGTGCCCTCACTCCTTCCTTCCTGTCTCACCAGCAGGAGCATGCCCTTTTCCTGGCTAGGGCCAAAGCCCAAGAGAGGCAAACAGAAAGACACAGTGGCTTCTAGGTCCAAGCCCAGCACGTTTTGGTTCTATGTACATTTTGCTGCCCAAAGCAAGTCCTGTGGTCCAGCCTGATGTTAATCAGGTGAGGAGGAACTGCAAAGTCACGGGGCAAAAGGTGTATATACAGAGATGGGTGGAGACTCGAGGACAATTTCCCACACTCAACATCCAGTTCTCTGAGGACATTCCAAAATAGATACGAAAAATAGAATTAGGGTTCTCCAAATCCCCAGGAAATCAAAACAAATGTTTTCAAAAGCAAAATTTCATAAAGCTCTACAAAACTTTCTTTTTAATCTAGAAGACTTTTTTTAAAGATTTTATTTTTTTATTTTATTTTATTTTTATTTATTTGTTATTGGAGGTACTGGGGATTAACCTAGGACTTTGTGCATGCTAAGCATGCACTTATCACTGAGTTATAACCCCACCCACCAAAGTTTTAACAGCAAACATGTATATTTAATGTGGAATGTATGTGCATTTTAATGTATTGAATAGGCTATGAAATGTGTCCTAGAAAAGCACTCTGCTTAGAATCTACATTGTATTAAACTGCTCTGGGTCCATGAATGTGTGCATCATATTCATCCAACTCTGTATCCCCAATTTCCAGCACAATCTCTCATACAAAGCAGGAATCAACATGTATTCTAAACAAATGAAAGTGTGTTGGAAATTATATTATGTGTGGACCTTTTCCATCTTCCCTGTTTGAGAGCAGGGCTCTTGTCAACATTTCACCTTTTATAAAGTCCAGCACAGGGCCTTGTAAATTGTAACTGCAAGTTTATGTGTTAATAAATGATTGGATGACTGAAAAAAAAAAAGTAGAATGAGGTGAGCCACTGTGACTTTTATGCAGTGAAATATTAAAAGCAACCATGTTCCAATAAAAAGACTTTGGCCTTTAGTTTCAGATGGGAGTTTAAATCTTCCTAAGAATGTTTCTGGGCAATTATTTGCTAATCCTCTGATTTGTGAAGTGAGGGATACGAGATCAGACTTTCCCCACAGGGTTATTGAGAATATTAAGTGAAACAGGCACATACATGTGCCAAGAATAAGTGATGCTCCAAGCAGTTCCCCAGGAGATGATATTTGCCTGTACATCCTCTGGACTCCTTTCATGGACAGACTGTAAGCATCAGCCTGTCAATCAAAGCAGTCAGACAGCCAAGGTGGCCTTTGCCAAAGAATCCCACATCTCTCTCCCCTTTTAAAAATTACAGCATAAGTAATTAACAAGAAAATTTTAAGTGCCAAGAACAGTTGTATTTTGAACTTGATCACATTTTGCCTTATCAAACAGGTATTTATTCACAGTGCTTTCAAGAATTAAGAATGAGTGAGAACAACAAGAAACTTGCATAGGATGCACATGGAATTTTTGTTTACTTAATTGTTGTTGTTTTTACAGAACAGTCATGGCTTTTTAAAATAAACTCTGAATTAAAATGGAAAACAAGGGTCTTCCTGTATGATACAATCTTTTCCTACAAGAAGGCCTTGCCAAAATAAATAAATGAATAAATAACAGTAAAAAATACAGATAAGGTTATACTTTTGCATTTTTTATGTAATTTCTTCTATGTTATCTAATTAAGATCTTCTAGCCAGGGTTTTCTATTCAAGAGTGGCAGTAAAAAAAAAAAAATGGCAGTAAACATTCTACAAATAGATCAGTTATCAAAGAATAATTATACCCAAGGGTATTGTTGTTGATATTTTTCCCATTTTAAAATTAGCCATAGAATATGACTGATTGATTAAAATTAATGTTTATAGACCACAGAGTCATATAAGCCTAAGAAAAGCCAGATTGGAGTTATATATACATGTTTTCCAAGGAGTCAGATAAGAGTGTAAACTTTGACATAACAATAGGATAAATTTCTATAGCAGAATAATAAACACAGGAATTATTTATACAAATCGTACTGTATTAAGTCCATTCTGCTCTTAACTGTTTAACTACATAAAAGCCAGAGGCAAAAAATAAAGTGGTATATATGAATGTGGATCAAAATTCATCTCATTCGTTTTATGTTTGACTTTGCCTGAAAAAATTAATTTCTTCCCATCAAGGAAGACGTTTCCCCCAAAATAACTATTTTCTGACTGCATATTAAATGTGGAGGAAAATAACTCTTTGGGGCCAAATTTGAGAAAGCCTTGTCCTCTGTAGGTCTGGTCTAAGAATTTTGAAATAGCCTGTTTGATGAAGCATTGTCAAGGAACCTAAACTACTTTTTTTTAAAATAGGAGTATCATAGTAATTATAAACATTCTGGTCTCTAGAAAACAAAACCAAAAAAAAGTCAAATTCAAATAAATGTAATAGTCAAAAATAGCTTTTTAAAACTTGTTTGGTTTGTAGTCTTGAGAATGTGAAATTTCTTGATTTAGATCTCTCTAGCTATGTTTTGTAACTTTGAAATTAAGACTTCACTTTGTCTGAAACTTGAAGAAAAAAGCAATAACCAAAGTTTGCTACCAAAAATGAAGTGTCAATCTTAGTTTTTTTAAGGTAAAGAACTTCAGTAATATAAATCAAGAAAATGGAAAAGATATAGGGATAATGGGGAAAATGTGACAGTAATTGTTCATCCAAAAAAAAGTTTATTTTCCTGTTACCTGAAGCCAAAATGCGTTTTATTGCAAATATATTTAAGGTTTAAGAATTATTTATTTTATATCCTTTTCCCAATAAGACAACACATAATTTACCAAATTTACATAAATTACATTAAAAGATTTAGGGGAAAAAGAAATCTTGCTACATAGTAGGTTCGATTGCATAGATGTTAAAGGAACACATTTTATACCCACTGTAACAGTAACTTTTTATTATCTTCTTGGGCACTAATATTTCAATAAACAAAATTTATGAGCATGCTGAATTCTTAACATCCATGTCTTAGAAAGTGTTAAGCCTATTGTCTGTTAAATCACTACTTTGTTTATACATTGAAATATACAAAAGGGGAAAAAAAACCGAAGAAGAAAGAAGGAAGAAGGGAGGGAGGGGAAAACCACAGGAAATAATTCACATCTGCACAAACACATTCTCACTTGACTAACCACTTGTATTTATTGCCATCCTTGGTCTTACTACTCATACTAACTCCACATGCAGTGGCTTCCACAATACCAGTGTCTGTTCCAAAAAGGATGATTTCACTTTTCTTCATAGCTTTCTGAGATCCACTTGTTAATTTCCAAGAAATATCTCACAAGTCTATCAAATATGAATAAGTCAGATAGAATGATAGGATGCTGTTCAATGTTTGCAAGTCACCAGGATAGCTCTCCAAAACAGGATAACTCAGATTGTTCAGCATTTCAACTCTAGTATTCCTTACTACCTTTTACATGTCACTGAAACGTTTGCTGCTTCAGAATCCACACTGAAGAAAAAAAAAAAGAATCAGCCAAATACTAATTGTCTGGTGATTATTGCATGCACTAATCTTAGGGATGTAGAAACCTCTATAAAGATTGAGAATGATAGTAAGTGCTGAAACTTCCGTACAATTTTTTTTTTTTGGTCGTTGCTGCCTTTTTAAATCTTATGCTGTCCAAACTCAGAGAACCGACGTTAGAGGAAGCAATAACTACTTCGGATGTATTGTTTTCAGATTAAGGCCAGTTCCCCCAAATTACCACACATATTGTAGTTACTAACACGTTTCTCAACCCTATCACTTTATATACATCATGTATTCCTCTGTCAAACTGCATAAAAGTTGTCACCGTTGAGACCTCGAGCCCTTCTCAAACACAGCACGTAATACTTGCACGTCTGCCCTCCATGCAGATCGTTAAACAGCGGGCTGCCTTTGCAAGCCCTTTCCAGTCAAGTTCTTTGATTGTCAGCTTTGAGATGCACATACCTGGAGTTCACAATATTTCCTTTATCTGGATTGTAAACTTCTGCGTTTGGAGAACCGATTTATGACGAGGTCGTTCACTCGGCCTGCATTCGCGGCTTCTTCCTAAGTGTCAGAGTGGTAGGGCCAGTCCCAGCTGCTGGGAATGCCGCCCCTCTGGGAAGGGCCCAAGTCGCCCCAGCCCCTCCCTCCCCACCCACCCGCAGTGCCTCCTCTGCGCGGGACCAATGCAGAATGCCGGGCTAGTGTCTCCACGCCTCCTCCCGACTGCTGGGCACCCGGGAGCCAGGTTTCTGCCCGCGCCCTCCGACTGGTGCAACTGGTTCCCGCGCTCGCGCGCGCGCAGAGCTCAAGCCTCTGCAGCGGCCCCGCCTCCTGCGTTTCTGGTGTCTCCCGCTCCCGCGTCCTCTCAAAGCCTAGATCCCCGACTCCCCTTCCCCGCGCCCGAGACCCTTCTTCCGGAACTCTTTCCCTTATTCAAGACTAGGAGGAATGAAGCCGGCACTGTGGGCAGTGCGCAGCCTGGTAGCGAATCCCGCTCTTCCCGCGTCCAAGACCTGCGGCGGGCAGGTCTTTGCACACTCAGCGTTTCCCGCGCTCCACTCCGCGGCTAGAGCGCAGCCAATCGGCTTCTGCGGCAGGAGAGCTGCTATCCAATGAGAGCAGAAGGACGCCAAGATCTCTGGCCAGATGCGCAGTTCCCCCGGCAGTTTCCCCGGAGCGCGGCACTGCTGGAGGCTCCCTTAAGCCGCAAGCGCAGACCGGTGACGGCTCGGTTCCGGACGGACTCTTGTCTTAGGTGAGTTTCACCTTTAGTCCTGGGGCTTATCTGGAGTTTTGGGAAAATTCAGTGGCTGAGGCACAATTCGAAAAAAACTTCAGGATTGGGTAGAGGGGGTGGGGAAGGAAAAAACCAAAAACAAAAAACATCGTCCTGGATACTGTTGTTCCCGAAAGGGGAACTGAGATCTATCCCTGGACGTGTAAAAAGAACAGAGTAAAGTAAAAGGACGTGTATTACTTTTGCTGTGCCCAAGGTTAGACGTTGTAATTTTAAAAACTGATGGGTCTTGTAAAACCCAACCTTAACTTCGTAAAAATGTGTCCTAAGATCAGCCTCTCTCTCTGAATTCTGTGTATAACAAATCATGTCAAATGTGTTTTCCTGGGTGAGCCTCTTTCCAGGATAAAATATTCAAAGTGGCAAATGATTATGTTCTCAGGCAGGTTCACATAACTTGCTAACTACATTTTATTCACTGTTTTCATCAAGGTTAATTTGCTGTTTCAGGAAACTTTTACCCAGTGACATAAAAGCTGCAAATATCTTTACTGTTTATTCCAGTAACTTATTCAAAGACCCAAACATTCTTCAAGAGAAAACATCAAAGTACAGTTTACATACCAAGACTTTCTGAACCCTTGCCTAAGCATCCTTGCCCTGTTACAGGCACATCCTAAACTGTCACCCAGTACTTCCTTTACCCTAACCAATCCCCCACATTAAAGACACAACTTAAACCGGACTTCAGAATCTTAACAAATAACTCAACCTTGCTGTCCCCTCTGAGACACTAGCAAAATCCTGTCAAGTTCTTGCTCTCCATGACCTCTGCAAGCATTCCTTTTAGCTTTGTCTTACCAACAGGTTGTTCTGGTGATATTTCTGGGAGCCAACAGTTGACATTTTTGGAGGTCTCAGCAAGACCTAGGCAGTTTCTGCTGCTGCAGCAACACCTTCAAGCCAGAATCACTGTGTGCCTCTGAGGTCCCTGCAACCTTCTCTTCCGGCACTCTCTGAACGCAAAGGTAGAGGAGGTAAATCTTATATTAGGTTGAACTCCAGTTTCTCTTTGTTAAACTCCCCAAGTGATGAGTTTATTTTGCCCCTGGGAGTAAAGAAACCTTTTTAGGAATCCTTTTGCTTACCTGATGCAAATTTTTAAAGCTCTTATGCTTGGTGAAAATCTGCCTTAGCAGCAGCACTACAGAGTGTCCCTATCCTTGTCACTTGTGGTTGTACTTGTGTAGAGGAAAAAGGTGTACGCTCCGCTAAGTCGGCTTCTCCAGCCAGTCCTGGGGACGAAGACGTCCATAAGGTTTTGTTTCAGGCTGGAGGGACCGTCCGAAACAACCGCAGCATGAGTATTTCACTCTGGAGTCCCCCCAGCAGCCAGGTTCCTGCGTCCCCAGTTGTCCGAAGAAAAGAACCCAGAGAGATGGCGGTGGGGAGGAGTGGAAGGGCGTAGGCTGGAGGGAGCCGGGAGAAAATGAAAACGAAAGCCTCCAAAGGGCCAGAGGGCGGGGCAGTTCCTAAAAGTCTGGCGGGCT